GATGAAACATATATATGGTTGCTATATCTATATCTGAACCGATTTTCACCAAATTTGATATACTTGCTTCTAGGCTGAATTTGGTCCGATGTACTAAAATTCAGTCCATTTGGACTTATATCGGCCATTTGGTGCACAATTAACCCGAAATCGGATGAAGATATATATGGGAGCTATATCCAAATCTGAACCGATTTCGATAAAATTACAAACAGCTATTTCTGGGCTGTATCTTATATCTGGTACCAAATATCATTCTTGTGGAGTGCATATTACGAATGTGAGAGGCTTAAACACCAAATCGGATGAAAGATATATATGGGAGCTATAGCTATATCTGAACCGATTTTCTCCAAATTTGATATACTTGCTTCTAGGCCGAACTCGGTTGGGTGTGCCAAAATTCAGGTAATTTGGACTGATAGTGGACATTTGGTGCACATTTAACCCGAAATCGGATGAAGATATATATGGGAGCTATATCTAAATTTGATCCGATTCTCACCAATTTCAATAGGCTTTGTCCTTGGGCCAAAAAAATATTGTTTGGAAAATTTCATCTCAATCGGATAATAAATGCGACCTGCATTTTGTTCACAAGAATGCATGGACAGACGGACGGACGGACGGACGGACGGACAGACGGACTGACATGCATAAATCGACTCAGAAAGTGATTCTATGAAGGTTCTCAAAAGTAACTATGGGTCTATCTCGTTTCCTTCTCCATGTTACAAACAAATGCACAAAGACATAATACCCTTACCACTATGTGGTGTAGGGTATAAAAACGGCTACCATGTTCAGACTGCTGTCATTTCTAAGCCACTCGTCCGACAACTGTTAAAATGATTCCAGTGACAGCTCATTATATTGTTTAAAAACGTACAAAAGCATTTTGGTAAGATTTTTCCAGAAAAAACATTATTCGTGATGGAATTCAAGCGTGATAGTGTGATTTCTTTATATTTGCCAGGAAAACTACAAGGGGATATAGTTAGAGCACTCCAGCATTTAAATGTTAATAAAGCATTTAAATAAACAATTTTTTTATGTCTCGTACCATTGCTCGTTACCGTGATACTGGTAGCGTAGCTCAACGTCAAGGAAGTGGACAGAAGAAAAAGCAACATCCGCAGAAATGGTTCGAAAAAGCGACTTGATCGATACCCGCGTCGCAGTGGCCGAAAAATGGCTAGTGGGCTGAACATATCGCAACATTCCATTCGGCAAATATTGAAAAATGAGCTTGGGGAAAAACCTTTGAAATTCCAAAAAGTGCAAGAACTTATACCGCAACAGAAAGAAAATAGACTCAAAAGAGCTAAAGAGTTGCTTCGCTTGGCCGAAAGTGGTGAACTGCCGAATTTGGTTTTCTCCGATGAAAAACATTTGTTTTCCAACAGTTTGTTAACAAACAAAACGGTTGTGTTTACTTGCCAAAGAGGTCAGCTGAAAATGTGCACCCTCGGTTGGCCACCAGAACTCAAGCGCCGGCCATGGTGATGGTGTGGGCCGCCATAACAGCCGATAATCGCTCTCCGTTCGTATTAATCGACCGTGGCCTCAGAATAAATGCCGAATATTATCGCAAAAATATTCTGGAGGGTGTATTAAAGCCTTGGACACGCAACATTTTGGCCACAGACCTTAGACATTGCAACAAGGCATCATCGCACTCAGCCCGCGACACCCAAGAATGGTTATAAAATGAGGTTTCTTGCTTCATTTTCAGCGCACAATGGCCACCAAAATCTCCGGATACCAATCCCGTGGAATATTGTGTCTGGAGTATTTTGGAAAGGACGGTTTGCACTAAAAAATACAAAAGTGTCGATCACCTCATGCAAGCACTTCGCCGGGAATGGGCCAAAATACCGCAGAGCAACATTCGGCAGCGTGTGACGGTTTCATTGGCCGTTTGAAGGCCATAATTCGTGCCAAATGTGACTAATTCGAGCAAATCTAAACCTATTCTAAAATTTGATGTTATTTTCCGACATATTTTGCTTCCATTCAATAAAATTCAAAAAAATTGAAAAATTATGGCTTTTGACTTTGATGCAGTTTTTTATCTCACGATATAATTGAAATCAACCTCGCTAAAAAATACAATTGCCTTCAAAACTACTTTTTTGGGGGAAAAGGGTTTTCCATATTTTTTGTTATTATCTAGCCATTTAAAATTTTTTAAATGCTGTATGAGACTTATTTCATTTTTAATAATCTTCCTTTTAATTTAACTGTAAATAATCATTTTCCGAATATCCTTGATCAGGGACATTGAAATAATCATCAAAACAAAAATGTTTTCATACTTTCCCTTTATGCTTTTAATTCGGTTTACAAAACCGTCGCTTTTGTGTAAAAATACACCACCTTGAACCTTGCGAATTAATTCCCTTATTATTTACATTTATCCTTTTTTATACAAATTAATCCTTTCAACTTAGCTGTACAATCGAAATAAAACAGTTCGCACAATTGGTATTGATTAATTTCGTATTCGTATTTCATGTTCAAACATGACTTGCAGTAATTCTGTCTGTCATATTCATAATACAAATTAGTAAAATGAAATATGAAAACCTTGACCACCACCACCGCCATCAACCCCTTGAACAACACCTCAACTCAATGTCATCCCAGCAGCAGCAGCGGCATCATCGCCATCATAACCGGGATTTGACCTCATTAATAATTAATTAAATGTTTTCTACTTTCATTTAAAAATCAGTTTTGCAAAATTAAAACGTTACAACCGACGCCTATCCGAACGATTGATGATTGGTGGCCGAACGGCTGATGATGGCCGGTCAATTAACTTGCAATCCACATGGAAACCATTACTGGCTGCCAGATAGTTTATTGTTGTTGTTGTTGTCTGTGGCGTTGTCCAGGAGACTTCCATCGGTTAGTTGTAAATGTTCAAAGTCCATGTAAGTAGATGTAGGCCGAGCAACAAGGGTATTCGACAAAGTAATTACATAAATTTGTGGTGTATTTGTGTGTGTGTGTGTATGTATCTGAAATTGACCACAACTATTGTGCAAACAGAGTTGAGGGATTATAATCAAATACAACACTAACGTTGATGATTGAAGAGTCATGATTACAAAGTAGATGCACAGTGGGGTTAGCTAGTAATAGAAGATTTCGATAATCTGACTTTGGGAAATGAAATATGATATGACGTGTCGAAAATTCGCACCCTGGGGTCATAGGAGGAATCCCTCGGGCCAGTAGGGATATAGGGGGAATAGGGGGCGCCATAGGAGAAAACCATCGGGGGTCCATAGGGGGAATCCCCCGGGGATCCATAGGGGGATACCCCAGGAACCAAAAGAGGAATCCCCTGGGGATCCATAGGGAGTTTCCCCCGGGGATCCAAAATGGGAACCCCCGGGGTCCATAAGGGGGTTTCCCCAGCGGATTCATATGGGGATTTCCCCGGTGATCAAAAGGGGAATCCCCCGGGGATCCATAGGGGGATTCCCCCGGGGATCCATAGGGGGATTCCCCCGGGGATCTATAAGGGGAATCCCCTGCGAGTCCATAGTGGGGATCCCTCGGGGCTCATAGGGGGAATTCCCCCGGGCCAATAGGGGGAATCCTCCAGGCCTCTATGGATTCCCTGGCCATCAACTCGACTCTATTGGGTTGTTTGGCCTTCAGCACGACCCTGTATAAACTATTTGGTCTCCAGCTCGTCTATATGGCCTTCCTGATATACAGCTCGATTCAATTGACTCCCTGACCTCCAGCTCTTCTATACGAACTCCCTGGTCTCCAGCTCGTCTATGCGCACTCCCTAGTCTACAGCTCGTCTATGAACTATATGAACTACTTGGCCTCCAGCTGGTCTACAAGAGTCCCTGACCTCCAACACGTCTCTATGGGCTCCTTGGCCTTAAGCTAGTCTATAAGAGCCCCTGGCCTCCAGCCCCCTCTCTTTCTCTCTCTCTATTGACTCTCTGGCCTCCAGCCAGACTCTATAAACTTCTTGGCCTCCAGCTCGACTTTATGAACTCCCTACCTTAAGCTTTTAGAACTACTTGGCCTTCAGGCCGTCTCTATGGACTTCCTGGCCTTCAGTTCGACTCTATTGACTCCTTGCCTTCTAGCTCGTCTATACGGACTTCCTGGCCTCCATCTTGTCTATATGGACTCCCTGGACTTTAGATCAATTATATAGGCTCTGTGGCCTCCAGCACGTCTCTATTGACTCCCGTCTAAATGGACTCCTCCTCGTCTAAATGGACTCCTTGGCCTCCACCCCGTCTGTATAGATTCCATGACGGCCCGCTCGTCCCTATAGACTTACTGGCCTTAAGTTCGTGTGTTTTTCTCACCATGAATATGCAATATTTTATGAATAAAAATGGACTATTAGTGTATGAAAAACATACCAAATTTGGAATAAGGTACCCTAAAAATGAAAAATCTGGATAGTACTTCAAAGGATAAGCTTTTGGAAATAAAGGAAACTAGGATTTTGAAAGAATATTTTTGGTTGCTCAAAATTTCACTTTTGGCTGTGCATTGGAAAATATTTTAGTTCTGAAAATTTAACTTCCCGTCGATTCTTTTTTTGAAATTACTGCAATCGAAGTTTATGACCAGAAGTTTCTTTTTTAAGAAATAACCTATCTTACCAATTTGATCTCGTTTTTTCTTTTCTAAGGGATCTTAAGACAGGCCATATTTTATCGCCCATTTTCTGCAATACTCCTCTCCTATTTTCAACATCTTTCATCCGATTGTGTTCGGAGAAACTTTTAACCAATTAAATCAAAACTTAACATAAAGGTAATTGATGATAGTTGAGGCAACAAAGTTTCGTTTGCCTTGTATTTTTTTTTTAGAATAATTAACCAAAGTGCAAGCTACCTTGAATGAATAAACAGAGGGATAATGCTGCCAAAGACGGCCAACACAAAAGAACAAGAACAAGCATAGACGACCCCTTTTGGCGTGATTCAATCAAGTCATTAACTTACCGCTTTTGTCGCAAACACGATAACATCTCTTCATTGTCGTCATTAAGGGGACAATTAAGGCCATGGGCGATTTGCATGGTGAGCTGCAACGAATGATTAGTCGCTGACCAATCAGACATGGCCGAGCCCGACATCAAAATGGCACGATGAAATAAACCTGCCCAAGATTGTGGTGGGTTGGGGTTGAAATAGATGCAAATAGATAAAAAGAAGAAACCCGTAAGCACACAAAGCAGAACAAGTAAAGTTGTTAACATTTCCTACCTGAAGCTACGGGCGAGATCATCAGATAGTTGACACAAGCAGCACCCGTCGAATGGCCCATTAAAGTGACACTGTCCTTATCGCCGCCAAAGGAGTGTATGTTCTCCTTTATCCAGTGCAGGGCAGCAATTTGATCCAACAGACCAAAGTTGGCAACAGTATTTTCATTAATACTCGGTCGCATGAAGCCTGTTGGCCGGCACACAAAGCGTCGAAAAGTGGAATGGAATGAAAAGAAACAAAAACGGAAAGGAAAGGAAAAAACAATGGTTTTGTTAGAAATTTCTTTTTCTTGTTCATGTGTCCAGCAACTTTACCTAAAATGCCAATGCGATAGTTGACCGTAACCACGATAACTTCGCCGTAGCTGGCCAGCACGGAGCCATCGTAGGCATTTCCGCTATTCCATTCAAACGATTCACCATGTATGTACACAATAACCGGATACAAAGGACGATGTTCGTAGGAATCCTCTGGATCGAATGAGGCTGTGGTTGTTGTGGTGGTCGTACTGCTACCGCCGGCTGAGCTCCGACCGGCATCGTCATTGCCATTTGTATTTGGCACATAGACATTCAAATACAAACAGTCTTCACTTTCCGCTTTCAGATAGGGCAACAAACGTGTCAGGTGACGATAACGACTTTTGGACATTTTCGCTGTGCCCTGCGGAGACATATCCGGTAATTTTTGTGGGCACACCGGTGGCATGTGGTGGGCCATTTTTAAGCCTTGCCAGGGAAGAGGGGTACCTAAAAGAAAGAAATAAAATAAATAAAAATATTTAAAACAAGTTTACCAATAGCTGTGATATTTTGATTATTTTATTTGAAACCATTTACTAAAAATGTCCTTCGTGCTTGCAATAAAAACCAGTCCAGTCAATGACCTTCATCCACTACCCGTCACTTGTTTGCTTATGCATCCGTTCGTATTTCATTCGCATTTATTTGCGAGTCTCGCTTTTATGACCCCTTTTGCAGACTCCAAGTCACCCACTTGCCTGTTAGCCAGTGACATCATGGCGTCAAATGTTATTAGAAACTTTTGCTCAGCCAAAACATAACAGGCAACTGGCATTGATGGTTCGTCGAAAACAACATCGAATGGCACATCAAAGATCCAAATCACGTTTCATTGCTCTGGATTACAGAATCCCAAGAAGAAGTTGCTGGCTTTGACCAATGCTGATGATTCCGACTAAGATGGCGATGATGATGATGATGGACGTACAAATATTACAAATTCAAACTTGAAATTGATCAAAGTCCTATTGATATGCACGATGCCTATGAGCTACAAGAGTGCCGAGTGGGGAGGCAAAGTTGATGAAATGCATCACAAGGAATAGTAATGAGATGATGACTAGATTTCTGTCTATATCAGGTTTGACCCCCAGAGATTTTTTTGATATTCCATTGAAGTTTGATGATGACAAAAATGAAGATTTTGTTATTTGGAAATGTTATTAGAAAAAGTGTTTATTGAAAAAATTAGGCAGGTCTACTTTTCAGTAGCATAGTGCAGATCACTATCGTGGAAGAAAAAAATAACACAAGCATTCCTACGATATAAAATCCTTTCCCGTTGGGCGCCAATCTTCAGTATTTTAATTATTGTGCGAAGTCTAAATCAACTTCAGTTGCACTATTTCAAAATAATGAGAATAATCAAGTTATGCAAGTCTCAAATGTCACTAGTAAAAAACCGACATGGCCGAGCGTTTGCTTCGCCACATTAGAAGGGAATTATACCCTTTTCATGTCTAAAAGCCAAAATTAAATTTGCAAACGTCCTCATTATCGTTGGGGTTTGAATAAGCCAACTCAATTCATTTTTGGATGATGACATTTGAATTGCTGTAATTAATTTCCTATAAGCCTCGAAAAAGCATGAATTTTCCAAATTTTGATATTGATGTATGGGGAGAAGCGGCAAGACTCATGTCTTCTTTTTTTGTCTTTATCATGTTTCAAAATATTGACTCTTTCTAGAAGAGGTACTAGAAGGGGTGTCTGACACATTTCATCAACACAGTTTGATCATATCAAAGATTTATAACCCCTTAAGATCTTCAATTATGAAAAAATCGATAACTTTGTAATCATAGTACAGATTTCCTCGTTTTATTTCGCTCGAAAAGTGTGAGTTTTTTTATTTTACCTTTTTTTGTGTGGCAGTGCTCCCGAGTCACTCTTGTTTGAGTGGTAGTAGAATCGCTGAAAATATAGCCCTAGCCCCAACCTGTAATGGAAGTGTACGTCTCGAAGTTCACTTCATTTGGGCTGATCTTAGTCGTTATTTGCAAAATAAACCTAAAATCGGTTTAAGGATATATGTGCAAGCTATACCCAAATCATATCCGTTTTCGATAAAATTTGGCAAAGGTATTTCCGAACTCTATAAGATATCTGGTACCAAATATCATTGTTGTAGAATGCATATTACGAATGTGAGGGACTTTAACATCAAATCGGATGAAATATATGTATGGGAGCTATAGCTATATCTGAACCGATTTTGTCGGTCGAATGTACCAAAATTCAGGACCTTTGGACCCATATTGACCATTTGATGCACAAATTTCAATAGGGTTCGTCCTTGGTCCAAACAAATATTGTTTGGAACATTTTTATCTCAATCGGATAATAAATGCGACCTGCATTTTGTTCACAAAAATACATGGACAGATGGACTGACATGCCTAAATGGACTCAGAAAGTGATTCTATGAAGATCTTCATGTTCTCCATGTTACAAACAAATGCAAAAAGGCATAATAATTATAAAAAAGGGGTCGGCAAATGTAGTATGGGCTCGATTTCGAAAAAATTTTATTCCTACTCAAAAAGGAGGAAAACACTCACCTATTCGAGTGATATCGATAATAGAGTTTGCTCGATTTTTATCTACTCCCAGGAGCACTTCCGGTCGAATTCGAGTGAGATTTTTACTATTTGTTCAAATTCGAGAGATTTCTTTTTTAATTGGGTGAGGCACATGTAGGTAAATGTGATTTGGATTATATGATACTAAACATCGGTCGGCATCGTTATATGTGAGCTATAAGAAAACGTGGAGATAAATATTCAATGTTCTACTAGATGAGCTAGAACCCAGGATAAGCTACCAATAGCCATTTTTAGAAGAAAATGGAAAAATGAGACAAAAATTATCAAAATACCAAATAACATAATGGTACCTCCATTATGTGGAAGCCATACGAAAACCTGGATCTATAGATACTATTCCGCCACAGGAACTACAATCCAAACCGAACTACAAGTAAAAATTTAAATTCATCATAATTCAAAATTCATCATAAAAAAAACGAATATCAGGAAGTACCGTTATATGGGGGCTGTAATAGAGGTTTACCGATATATCTCATTTTCATTACCAACCATCCTTGACACAATACAAATTGTTCTGCCAAATTTTGAAGCTCTACGTCAAATAATGTCGACTGTATCGTGATTTCAACAGACAGAGATAGGGAAAGACAGACGGGCGGACTTAGTTAAATCGACTGTACGGTGAAGGTATACGAAAATCTTCATGCTCTTGTTGGGTTAACACACCAGAAGCAAATCTTGCCGTTAGAAAAAAATTTAAATTTTAAGCATTACCTTAAATAACACTCCATAAATTTTTTTTTCAACAGTCAAGTGAAAGTGTGATCATCCAAAAATAAACCTATCAAGACTTATCGCTGAATCTATGCCATATAAACAGAATTTGTATATATCGATCTGGTAGAAAATTGTTAATGTTAAAAATACTAATATACTAATATTATCAGCACTTGATTTTGGTCAATCTCCTTTAATTAAACTCGAAATCGATTTACCCAAACATAAATTCCTACACTTGATTTAACAAATTAATTGCTTAGTTAGTTCACAATTTAAGTTATGCAATTTCCTTAGCTCATACCCACACATTTCTCTGAATTCTGTTTAGTTTGCTTATTATTATAACACTAATACTTACAAACACACACACACACACATGAAACCGAGAAAACATGAGTTTGCATTTTAGGTTACCAAGCCACATCAATGTTTATAACTAACTTTGCCAAATACTAACTTTTGATTTTGAATTCTGATATTTTTGAGGTATTTTTGCTTTTCCGATGCCTGTTGCAACACTTACTGACTTTTGATGATTGTTGGAACTTTTATATTAATGTCTATTCTCAAAACATGTAAGTCCGCATACAGCCTCACACACACACTCAAACCGGAACACAATTTTGGATTCAGAGAATCTAGATAATGGTAAGTGTGTGTTGGCCACAATTCTGTGTGTATGTTTGGTTTGACCAAACTGAGGTTTGATCGGATATGCCAGATATTTTGCCGTCTAAAGATAAAAGTGAATAAATCGATTTGTATTTATAATTATTTACTTTCAGAGGGGGCTCACTGAAGGAAAACAAAACGTGGAGGAGATAGAGAGAGAGCGAGAGACCAACCCTCTATGAATAATAATAAAGATTTCAATACATTTAAACCTAGACCCAATATAGGATAATGTAAGTATTTGATTAAACATTTTTATTAATTAATTAAATGTATTTTTTTTTTTTTTTTTTTTTTTTTTTTTTTTTTTTTGTGGAGAAAAAATCGAAAATCTGTTATTTTATGCAACACAATACCACTAAGTTAATCTTTTTTTAAACCCTTTAAACAATAATTTTTGTCTTCCATAATGTATATTGTATAATGTTTCTGGGTTTTGACTTATTCACTTCTTCTCGACTCCAAAGAATACAAATTTTAAAATTTCAAAATATCCGAATATCCATTTCTGCATATTATATTTGAACTGTCTTCCTGAACATATGAACTAAACATTTTAGAGATTAAACATTAAAGTTTTAACCACCAGCAACTCAAGAGAATTCTCAAGTTTGCCCTTTGTGTTGGCAAAAATTAACAAACAGTTTGAACCGGCATGTAACAACTTAAAGTGAAAGCAAAGGTATTTAAAAGTTTATATAAAATTAAAAAAAAAGGAATGCAATTTAAAAGTTTCAAAACTATAAGAACAAAAGCAAAATTCAGGAGAATTTGTTAATTTAATTCAATGTAAAATATTTAAATGAAACAAATTTAATTTTTCAAAAATGTTTGTTAACGGTGGTTTTAGTTTTCAATTATCCTGAATATTCCTCATATGTTGTGGAATACAAAAGCTAATATTTCATTTTTAGTAACGGTTATTTTCGTAATTCCCATTTACGCCAGTTATGCGCAAATAATTAGGAAACATGTCCAAAAAATTAACAAGCTACAAAATTACGCTTAAAACGTTGATAGCATCTTTAGCAGCTTCATGTTACCCAAAAGCAATGTTCAAATTTTTCACACACCGTTCGTATATTAAAGCGAAAACAAATGGATGTGGTGAAAAAATGAACTGAAAAATGTGGACAATTTAATAAACCATGTGGCCCTTTAAAGCAAATATTCAGGAATCTGTGCATTTTGTATGCATTTTATATTATATTTTATATGTTGGGTTGTATCGGAAAAAACGTTTTAGAAAATAATTTAATTATATACTTCAAAAATGGAAATAACGCACCTCTAACAGAATAAATTGTTTGCAATTGGTATCACATGAAAACGGCTCAAAGTATAGCATATGGTTGGACTAGGAAAAAGTTCTTGGTCTAGTAAGTCCTCTGCCAAGGGATCGACAAAATGCTATGAAGTACCGTCAATAACTACACATAAACGAAAATTGAAGAATGATACTGGTGTTTTTCATATCGAAAATAGAAAAATTAGGTCTTCAAACAAATAAGCATCATTTGTGCGTACACAAAAAAAAAAAAACTGCAACCTACTGCAGACTGCTGTCATTTCTAAGCCACTCGTCCGAAAGGTTTTAAAATTGTTCCAGTGACAGCTCATTATATTGTTTACAAGCGTACAAAAGTATTTAGGTGAGAATTTTCCAGAGAAAAAGTTAATCGTGATGGAATTAAAGCGTTATAGTGTGATTTCTTTATATTTGGCTGGAAACCACGAGTGGCTATCGTTAAAGCCCTCCAGCGTTCAAAAGTGAATAAATCTTTTGTATTTGAAATTCCAAAAAGTGCAAGAACTTACACCGCAACAGAAAGAAAATAGACTCAAAAGAGCTAAAGAGTTGCTTCGCTTGGCCGAAAGTGGTGAACTGCCGAATTTGGGGTTTTCCGATGAGAAATCATTCGTTGTCCAGCATTCCAGACCACTGAGCACTGAGCACGCGGCAAACAAGAATGGTTACAAAGTGGGGTTCCTCGCTTCATTTCCAGCCCACAATGAGCACCAAAATCTCCGGATACCAATCCGGGCAGCGGTTTGCGGTTTCATTGACCGTTTGAAGGCCATAATTCGTGCCAAAGGTGACCAATTCGAACAAATCTAAACGTATTCGAAAATTTGATGCTATTTCCGAAATTTTTGTTCAATAAAATTAGAAAAAAAAATAATTTATAAGTTAAGGCGTTTGACTTAGTTGCAGTTTTTTATCTCACCCTGTACATATATCTAGATCAACGTGAAATTCTTTGACGACTCTGTGCGTTGTGATCATCAGTAGGAATTAAGGTAGGAAGGTAAAATTTTGCACAGATCAGTCTTTTGTCTGGTCAAGTTCGAAGATGGGCTTTATCGGTCCACGATATCGTATGGTCCCCTATAATGGTACCCCCCGATATTCGGTATTTTGATGATTTTTGCCACATTTTCAATGGAATTTTCTGAAATTGTACACAAGGAGTTTCTTTTGAGTACTTTATCCTCTAGAAGAGAAGTGTCTATATAGCTCCACGATATCGAATACCCCCCATGCAACGGTACGCCTTCCACGATATTCGCTATTTTGATGGTTTTAGCAACACTTTCAATTGGAATTTTTTCAAATGTCGTATTTAAAGTTTGTAATGGGCCTATGATAAGGAATTGTATACGACGGCTCACTTCTTCATATAACACCCATATAACGATACCTCCCGATGTTCGGCGTTTTCATGATTTAAGGGACAATATTCACCGGAATTATTTCAAATTTCGTATGTGAAGCTCGTAATGTGTACTATAACCTATGTCAGAAAATTGTGTATGTAAGAAATCGTATATTCCCCCTATATAAAATACGTCCCGATATTCGGTATTCCTATGATTTTAGCCACATTTTTCAATGAAATTGTCTGAGTATTTTATCGTCTGGAAGGGAATTGTATATGTAAGTCCAAGAAATCGTATAGCTCGCATACAACGGTACTCCCTCGATTGAGCGGTATTTTTAGACATTTTTTTTTGAAATTTTTAAAATTCCTTCAAAAAAGTTGGGCCCGGACGAACTTAGCTGCTTTTTACTAGTTTTTTTTTTTTTTTCGATTCCAAGTCTTATCCGAAATTTTAATCGGACGGGCACGCTCTGTGTCGTCGTAACTCATTACTTGGTCATGAGAAAGCTAAGTTAATTAGATTTGTATTTTAAGGACTAGTCTATTATTTTTACCCACTGGTGTGTTTTATTACTTAACCTTTTAATGGGTTATTCGGTCGTTGCAGATTCTAAGTTTTTGATAGAGAGCACAATAATTCATGGTAAATAAACTAAAAATTAATTGTTTTTAACCGGCCAATCATATTTTTACTCACTTAAGGAGTAATTATATAAAAGATTCCAAATCCAAATTAAAATCAATTCAACAAAAAAATTATATAATAGTCAGTTCTTTAATAGGGTCTATGGTGCATGTAGATTTACATACAATGCAAATAAATACAACATTCAATTAGCATTTTTACATTTTTGTGGTATATTTGGAAATTCCTGTACTAATGTTACTGAATTTTAAAAATGCTTTTGAATATGCATATTTATTTTCAAAAAAAAAAAAAAAAAAACCTCCTTTACATAGTCCATTTTGCAATTAGCCATGTAGCTTTATGCATACAAAGTTCCATAAAAGAATAGCCTTTTTGAGTTCAGTTTTTTGCTGTTATCTATGTGACCACATATTTATAAGGTTTCAAGATTTCTCTTTCTTTTTTGTTTGCTTTACACATTACTACATACATACATACCTGGTGGCATAAAACGACGACTGCCCACCGGAGCTTCAGCATATGGTATGCCAAGATATTGATCAACATCACGTATACCCGCAGAGGGATGAAAATTACGTCTAATGCCCATAAGGCGACCCTGTTTGATGGTAATCTCTCTGGTGTATTGCAATTTTTCGGGCACGATGTGACGTCGCTCCAAAGGTGGCTGTTGTTTCGCCGTGCCGTAGCTGTGGCCATTGTTGCTGGCGTTGGTGTTACTACTACTGCTGCTGCTGCTGCCATAGCCATAGTTGGAGAACGGATATGCCATTGAAGTGGTTCGTGGCTGTGGTGTAACCGGTAGTGAGGAGACAGCACGCTTTATAGTTGAGCTGGTTGAAGTGGCCATAAGATATGCATTATCGTTGGGTGATTTATTAATGCTGCTGCTGCTGCTGCCGAAGCCAAAGCTGTTGCCATTGGTACCAACTTTGTGGTTCCTTTTATCATCATTGGCGTGGCTCTTTAAGAGCTGTTGTAGATTTTCCTTAAAGTCCTGTACCAAAATTTCGCCATCAATCTTTGGTGGTTTTTGTTTAATACTCTTTAGGTGGACTCTCTTGTGTTCGCCGAGGGAGTCGCTGAGTGTTCTAGATTTTCTTAAATTAGTGACATGATTTACCATGGTATTGGTTGCATTTGCCTCATTACGGTTGGCATTGACACCGAGCTGAGTGCTCTCCTCCTCTGGCGCACTGGGCGAAATGCTGTTTATTGAATTTTCTTTTATGACTTCCGCCAACAAGTCGTGTTCTTTGTCTGTTCGCGTCGATGATGCATTTTGGACAAGTTTTTTGTTTATTTCGGTAACTAGGTTTTCAACGTCACCTATTACTTCCTCAGTTGGCCGCCCAGCAAAACGACGTTGGGCCACAGTTTTTTGTTGCTGTCGTGAAAGCAGGCCGCCAGCCACATCTGGTCGCTGTTGCAGGGGCACAATGGCCGCTTCGACACTTGTGTTCTTTAATTTATGGCACTGCTGATGTATGCTGACAAATGTCAGACAGACTAACCAAAATGTTGTTGTCAAATGTTCCACATACATCTTTTTTTCTGGTGTTTTTGTTCGTTTTTTCTTCAGTTTCGTTCACTTATTTTATTGGGAATTTTTTGAGGTTTTTTGCTCCAGCCGTAGCGTTTTTTGTTCTTCGTCTGTGCAACACCAAATAAATTGGATATTTTTGGATGGGTTCTTTTATTTGTTTCTTTGTTTAGTTACAATGTACATTTCTTTTTTATGGTACGCTTTTAAAATTCCATTCATTTTCATTGTTGTTGTATTATTTTATTTAAAGGCATTTTTTTGACATTATTTTTAAACAATAATTCGTCTGTGCTTGTAAAACATTTCAAATTAGTTGTTGTTGTCGTTTTTTATTGTTTAGCTACTTAGGTTTTGTCATATGTGTGTGTGTTTATTGAGTTCTTAATTATGTTCCTTAAATTATATCTTAAATTTGCCATTAAAATTAAATAGTTTAAAAAATTAAGTCATAAAATTGAAAATCCCATTTGTGTGGAGGGATGACATTTAAAATAGATTAGTTTCGGAGAATTTCATAAATCATTCATTTGTAATTCCCTTTAAAGGTGCTTCACTATGTCTGTAGCCATGGCAAACATTTATTGTGGAATTTAAGCTATTTTTAAAATATTCATCCAGGGATAATGGATACTACAAGAATACAACTTAAGTTAAGAATTTTTTTATTTATTTTTTTTTTTTTGGGGGGGGGGGCTTGCGAAACGGTAAAACATTTTTAAATTTTTGTCATGTTTTAGTTTGGTGGTAAAGTAAAACTTAAGGGGGGAGGGGGTTTGTTAAAAATATTTGGATTTGTTTTCTTTACTTATGAAGTGAATGGTGAGAATATTCAGAATTCAAGTAATATTTTCAATTGAAAAAACTGTATTTTATTTCTTTCGATATGAGTTTGAGAGTCATTCAAAAATTTAAATTAAAACGGTTTCTTGGGGTAAGTCCTACCTATTCAAATTAAAAAATAAAAAATTATGAACTCCTACTGTGAAAGTTGGCCAGAATCTTCGAAACGCCTTGAATCGGACGTCTCCGCAATGTGGGACTTATATCAAAATATGGATAAACTTTGAAAAATTTTCTAAAGTCAAATATTATTTTAGTGAGAACCAAAATTAAAAGTTTTATTCATTTGAAGAGCAGAAACTTTGGATGTAAAAAGTGTCAGAACGTATAGTTCAGTTTGATATATAAGCAGGATTACGATTATTTAGAATTTTTGAGGCCAAAAGTATTAAAATATCACAGTCACAGGGATTCCATAAATTAATTGGATTTTCTTTTTTCGCTCGATAACAGAAGATTTAGACATACTTCAAATTGACCAAATTTGGACAAAATGTGAAATGCTTGGACATATATAAGAAAAGTCCATGGAAAACTGAAGCGTATATTTTCGAAAATGTTTTCACAGAGATGTTAATTATAATAAAGCTATAGGATGATGTGATCCGATACAGGCGGATAATAATATAGAGATGTGAATAGCTACGTTTTCTTCTCATGATTTGAAGAATAGTTTTTGGGAGGAGGAACCAGGAAAGTTATCTATATACGTCACCTTTGGATTTGATTGATTACACCCCCAACAATGGAGTATATTTTGAAATATCATTAAACTTGTAAGTCCTAGAAATAAGCATTTTAGACTCCAAAAAGCATATATCTTCTATGTCGAATATCTATGCCTATTCGTTCGTCCATCCGGTTGTTTTTGAAAATCTCTCCAACTTTTAAGTAGAATAAGTATTTTAGGTCCTTAGAATTTTTGATATGGAAAATGGTCTTTGATTTTGTATACCTCCAATATAACGGTACAATCCGAATCAGGTAATTTTTGGGATTTTTTTTCATGCTTTTTCAACCGTCTGTAAATCGTTTCCCAGAGAACAGAAAATGTATATGTAAATAAATACATATAGTTTCCAATTGTGGCATAGACTCCATATACAGGTATCTCCCGATTTTACATATTTATTTTCGGATACATTTTCAGCGGAATTTTTTCAAAGTTGTGTTTGGAGTTCACAATTGGTACTATTTTCTCTGGCAGATTATTGTATATACATGTCCAAAATTTGTTATAGCCTCCATACATATGTATCCAGTACAGAATTTTCCCAATGTTCGTATTTGGACTCCATTTTCTTTAGCATTGTCTTGTTAACTTGGCTTATCTATGCAGATCAATGTTCGGCATTCGGGTGATTTTTGACACATTTTTCAATGGAAATGTTTGAAATTTGGTGTTTGATGTTGCCGAATCTCATTATTTTGATGATTTAACAGATCTCATAGAACTGAGGTGAGGTATTTGAAGTTCTTATTGGATGACATCTCCTCCGGTAGGAAACTATCTACATCAAAAATAACCTCCCTCCACTGGGAAGATATTAGAAGAAGTTTCTACGCATCTTAAAGGGACTTGTGAGGATGCGCTAAAAGTGCCTAAAAATGGATTTCGTTCAAAAAAAAATAAATAAAATGATTCGTATCAAATGAAATGTATAATTTTTCTAGCCATAAAGAGTTGTGTATAAAATTATATGTATTATATCGAATAAAAAAGTATATATTTAAATCGGTAAAATGTACGTTCTGACTACAACTCTCATATAAGGGGTGTTTTTAAGCTAGATAAAACTTTAAATTGTAAAAAGTGTCACAAAAAATGAAATTTTGATGAAACTTTTTTTATTTCTTTCTGTATACTCTGACAAATCATCATGAATAGACTCACGCTTGAATGACGCTACGAAATTATCCAAATTTAATTTGAAAATCAGGCTCTAGAGCAGTTGGCAAATTACCCGTTTTTTTGTTGCAAGATTGTGTTCAGCGATGAGGCGCATTTTTGGCTTAACAAGTTTGTTAATAAGTAAAATTGCCGCATATGGAGTGAGACCAATCCACAAGAGACCCTACAGACTCCATTACATCCAGAAAAATGCACCGTATGGTGCAGTTTTCACGCTGATGGCATAATCGGACCTTATTTCTTCAAAAATGAGGCCGGAGCTCGCTTTGCGGTCAATGGAGATCGTTACCTCACCATGATCAATAATTTTTTGTTTAAAAATATGGATGACATTGATCCGGAGGAGATGTGGTTTCAGCACGATGGCACTACGTGCCATACGGCGAACGTAACCATCGACTTATTGAAATCAAAATTTGGCGATAGGTTGATTTCGAGAAGTGGACCTGTCAATTGGCCTCCAAGGTCGTGCGCTTTGACACCTTTCGATTATTTCTGTGGGGCTACGTGAAGTCACTGGTTTATGCTGATAAACCACATACAATTGACGCCTTGGAGACCAGCATAGTTCGTGTTATTCGTGACTTACGGCCAGCAGTGCTCGAAAAAGTGGCCAAAAAATGGACATCAAGAATGCACTTCGTCAAGAACAGCAGCGGTGCCCATATGCCCGAAGTCATTTTCAAATGTTAATGTTACATATTGTTCTTTCGAATAAAAGAAAAAAAAAATTAATTAATATTTAATTTTTTGTGCTATTTTTTACAATTCTATTGGGCTTAAAAAAACACCCTTTACATTTGCAACATTTATAGAGCAAATCTCCGCTTACATTAAAATATCTTCTTCTACTCTAAATGTGAGTACACACATTTTTCAATGAGCACAATATGGAATAACTTCCTTCATTTTTTTATAGCTAACCTCACTGCACTCAATAATAAACAATTGTTAACCTATTTAATTTGAATGGGCAATTCAAATTATGAATAAAAATTTTAATTGCAATTATTGTTTTTCTCCACAAATTTCCATTGAAATGTCCCTACGTCCTATACCAACCAAAAAATATGTATTCTCCATTAGTTTGGCAAGTAATTCAGTTTTTTTTTTCACTTTTTTATTATTACAGAACCAGAAAACAAAAACAAATTATAACCCCAATAAAAGTATTCAACTATCCATTTTATGTATCCGAATATTTATTAAATTCATTTACGATGTCATTCAGTCAGTTAACGTGTTAAACTGTTCAGAAAATGGTTTTTGTGCAACCGACATTTATTGCATTTGCTAAAAAAAACTAATTTCGCAAAAATAAATAGCAAAGTGTATTTTTTGTCATGGTCGTTTTAGTTTTGTGTGATTTTTTTATTCAGAAATCAAGTAAAAAGTGAATGCAGCACATCATGTACACACACGCACACATGCACACACGGTGCAACGAAAATAGAGACAACAAACTAACAAATGGTGTAATTTCTATTTTCGAGTTCTCTATGGGAAAAAATCAACGCGATTTATTTTCGTATCTCATTTGCAACAAAAATATTTAAAAATAAATCGAAATAGTATTTTTCTTTGATACGATGTATAAATTTAAAATAGTTCACTAACCCCAAAAATTCTTTTATGCTAATAAAACATGTAAAATACGCTTCTGCTCGTGCTGCAATGACTGCGGCTATGGCGATGCTGGGGCTGATGATGCCTGCCCGTAGATAGTGTCAATGTGGCGAACATACATACACATAAGTATGTAGTATATATTTAGACGCAACCAAGCACATACCATATTATGGCGTGAGGGAAAGTGTGCATGAATGCATTTGGGGGGATAATAGGACACAGTGGTTCATTGGATACAGTGTTATAAATAAATTGAAATGTTTGAGGCATATGGGTTTTCTTTTGTTTTAAGATAAGTGTCTTATGTCGGTGGATGGCATTGAGGTGATTATACAGCTTGACATATTATCATTGTGTGACTGTGTAATCGATTTAAGCGCTCCTATGTCAGCGAATATCAATTTTGAGAAAAGAATTTATCTGAAGAAGGTGTTAAAAGAATGCTTTTACAGCCAGTGTGTGCTGCACTCCATCACACTTTCAAATTCTGCAGTAAATTTTTAAGAGTTTTATTTTGTCTGGTTTCGTTTGCTCTTAAGGGCCTCATGTACATCTGGCTAATAAATTATTTAAATATCCAAAATGTTTTCGGCAATGTTATTTATTAAACTACTTAGTTTATTGAACTGTAACCTTTTTGAAAATAACCAATCAGTCGAAAGTTATGATGTTAAGTGTTTTTTATATAATTTCTTTGTTTTGCATATTTCACAATAAAAGAAGAACAGAAAGTGATATAGGTATTTTGACAAAACCCCCAATATAAAACACATACACATGAGTTTAATTCTCCACTCGAATTCGAATGTTTGATTTATTTATTGCAAAATATTTAATATAAAATATAGCTGAAACAACACGGAGAAATCATTTTGCTGCTTCACAATGTTCTGAAAACTTAAAAAAAAAA